ATAAAAGAAATAATTAAAAACAGGGGAAATAAGCGACACATACGCAGCAGCAGCGGAGCTATGTTATCTCAGGGCTCAGGCGGTGGGTGTTATATAGGATTCGGGGAGCGCAGCACATACACACGATTCGTGTAATGTTCTCCTAACATTGAAAAAAAAAGTGTTCTCGTACAATAATCGAGCACGGCCACTTCGGGCCAAATTTCAACCGTCGTTACATACGTTGATGCATGCATGCATGATTTGCTGATGCACATGCTTTGAAAAACACACGATTCAAGTGCTGGTATGATAAGTGGTACTGGCCACTGCTTTTGGAGCCTTATTCATTCACGTGTCGTGCTGCCGACACATACGTCCATCACGAGTTTACCTTGGACCAGCTGAGCCTGATCTGCCCTGCGCCCCGGTGAGTGGCGTGATATTTCCTGTCTTTATCGTGGCCGTCGCGAAGGCGCTGCTGAAGACCGCCGCGCTGGTTGCGAAGTTGCGGATGGTGTTGTCGGTGCTGTCGTTGTTGAAGATCATCTGGTCCGAGTGCAGGAGCCCCTTCCGTGATAGGAGGTTGGTGTAGTAGGCATTGTCAAACGTGTTGGGGGTCATCATGCCCAGGTTCGCCAGGTTGTCATCGCCGTCGGGCTAGGAGCAGTTAGCCTTGAGCAACGTCGCGAAAGCCGCATTGATGTTGGTGTCACCACTATAGATCCGAGTCCAGAAGGTGGAGCACCGGGCCTTCCCGATGGTGTGCGCGCCTGATAGCGCGGCCATGTCGGCCGTGTTAAGGTTCTTGAGGAACGCGACCTCAAGCTGTGACCGGCTAAAGCCCGGGCCAGGGAGGTCACTGTTCGCCAGTGAGGCGCTTGCGGTGGTGGAGTACCGTCTCCCCAGCGAGACAGTCCACGATGTCCCTCCAAGCTGCATGTGGAAGATAGCAGATCAAGCAGGAAATTAAGTACTACCTCCGTTCTGGTTTATAGGCATCCTTTGTAGTTTGTGCCAAATTTTGACTAAAAATTTAATTGACAAAATGTTAATGCATGTCAAGAAAAATTATCTCATTGGATTCGTATTTGAATATACTTCCTCCGTTTCTAAATATAAGTCTTTTTAGAGAATTCACTATGGACTACATACGGAGCAAAATGAATGAATCTACACTCTAAAATATGTCTATATACATCCGTATGTAGTTTGTAGTGGAATCTCTAAAAAGACTTACATTTAGGAACGGAGGGAGTAGTTTTAAAAAATATAATGTTTGGTGACATGCGTAAACATTTTGTTAGTTTATCTATGGTCAAAATTTGGCACGAAATACAATGGGAACCAATAAACCCGAACGAAGGTAGCATGTACTAAATCAGCGACTATTAATATGAATCGGAAGGAATATGTTCTATCGTTCAGTAGCATCGATCATGTAACTGAGTGTAGTACTAAGATGTTCTTACAGCGACGACGAAGTCACGGGCAGCTATGGTAAGGATGTCGGCGCAGGAGACCGTCTACTTGCAGATACTCTTCAGTTGGGTCTTGATGTTGTCGATGACGCCGAAGCCCCTCAGCGAACCCACATCCGGAGCATCATTTTGTTCCATGCCAGACAACAGAACAGATGCATCACAGCCCTCTAGACAGTAGAAAAGAGTTTTCTCATAAAATAGTCGAGCATGGCTACTTCATGCCAAATTCCACAAGAGAAGTGCACATCCTCATTCCGTGTACAGGTGTAAATATGATCGATATAGTTATTCTTTTCTTTTTTTCCTTTTGAGGATGATCCTTGACTTCGCATCTATGTGCTCCATTTTTCTCCTGACATTGAAAAACAAATCTCGTTAAATAATAGAGCACGGTCACTTCATGCCAAAATGTCATCAGACAAGTGTACATCTTCATTCCAGTGTAATAAGGTAGGATTGATGGTAATTCTCCTTGCCTTTGCATGAGAAATTGAAGATTCAACCGTCGTTAAATATGTAGATACATGCATGAGTTGCTGCTGCACATACTTTGAAATACAGGATGCCGTCCGGCGTCATGGCGACGTCGATGGCAGAGAGGCTTGGCATGGTCGGTGCGTTGGGTTCTGCTCTGAAGATGGATTGCTGGAAGAGAGCACAACGACACACGATAGTGCGTCAGACCAGTTTGTGCCCCAAACCAAGTATGTAGCTTGGTTGGGCCTCTGGCTTTAGATGTTAGGCATTTGTGCGATGTCTGTTTGGTATTAGGCTCGGACTATCGGCACCCCTTCATCAGCTGGATAGGAATAGCGACATATGTTGCTAAGATGATGGCGCAGACTACCTAATGTACTATTTTGTAAGGTCTTTGTGATTAATTAATAAAGTGATTGCATGCGTCGTCTAGATGGAGAGGCCGAGGGTAATCCTCCTTTTCAAAAAAAAGTGCTGCTACGATAATTGGTATTGGCCACTGCTTCTGGGGCCTTATTCATCAATGTATCATGCTGGCAAGTTGCCGACGTGTACGTCAATCACGAGTTCACCTTGGAGTAGCTGAGGCTGATCTACCCCTGCGTCCCGGTGAGTGGCGCGATGTTTCCCGTCTTAATCATAGCTGTCGTGAAGGCGCTGCTGAAGGCCACTACGTTGGTTACGAAGATGCGGATGGTATTGTCGGCGATGCCGTTGTTGAAGAGCACCTGGTCCGAATGCAAGAGCCCCTTCTGTGATAGGAGGTTGGTGTAGTAGGCATTGTCGAACGTGTTGTTCGTCATCGTGTCCAGGTTCGCCGGGTTGCCATTGCCGCCTGACTGGGGCAGTTGGCATTGAGAGATGTCCAGAAGCTAGTGTTGATGTTGCTGTCACCATAGGAGATCCGAGTTCGGAAGGTGGAGCACCGGGCCTTCCCGATGGTGTGCGCTCCTGAGAGCGCGAGCATGTCGACCGTGTTAAGGTTCTTCTTGAGGAACGTGACAACAGAGTCACGGGCAGCTATGGTGAGGATGTCGGCGCAGGAGGCCGTCTGCTTGCAGATACTCTCCAACTGGGCCTTGATGTTGTCGATGACGCTGAAGCCCATCAGTGACCCCACGTTCGAAGCAGCATTTTGTTCCATGCCAAACATCACAACAGATGCATCAAAGCCGAATATGGTTATTCCTAACCCTTTGCGCTCATAACTCTAATCTTCACCACACATCGCCATGCACATCACATCAGCCGATACACATGATGTCACATCGGCATGTCCACTCTCTCGCTTCTCAGTTCTCTCTCCCAAACAAACCCACCCCTTTTTCACCTTTCCTAACTTAAATCATTTATATCCTTTAAACCAATATTTTGATTTCAGGAATTTTTATATATTTGAGCTCCAGACAACATTTAGAACAAGATCAATATTGGATATATTTCAGGAATTTTTCTTAAATATTTTTTTATTCTTTTCTCAATCTTTTGAGATGCATCTGGTTTCGTGTGTGATAGTGGCATCGATGTGATGGATTTTTCATCCAGCATACTTAGGAAGATGGATTGATCTTATTTTGTTTCCTGTCTTCCAGTTTTCGGTAAATGACTGTTGTTGTTTTGCCCCTCTCCATACACAGGAAAGCGGAAGAACATTATCAAAAATTTCAAAGGACTTTATAAAAATATGAAGAACTTTCTAACAGGACTTTGCTAACATGGTGTCCGAACTTTCCATAAAAATCAGAAAAACTTATGAGAAAACTTTGCCATTACTAATTGTATCTTTGGATTTTGTAATGTTCTTTGGAATTTCCCGTAGAGTTCGCCACAGCCATCTAAAAATTCCTTTGGTATAATCCAGTAATTAATTAATTTCATTAGTATTTTATGAGAATAAGTACATTTTTTTAGTAAATAATAAACCATAATTAGTGAAAACATGTTGATTAACCATGTATTTAAATGGTGCATTAGCGAAGAGATTGGTCACACGTGAGGTCGAATCAATTGAAATACGACTGAACTATACACACGGGCGCATGGATGGCTGACACATGTGGGCCATGTTGATTTGACAATAGGGCTGGATGTGTGGTGCAGATACAGGTTGCGCGCATAGAGTTCCGGGCATAGTGGTAGTGAACATTTTACTTTAACCTCTCTGGTCAATATAGTTGTGAACTCCTAATCATGATGCATGTATGCAACCATACACCGGAAAGAGGAGTCTTCTATGATGTAGGCAACCTATATGCAGGTAACTAATCGACATGCAAATGTCGTATTCTGACATATATCTTTTCAACCAGGCTTTACTCAGCCTTGCCCTTTTTCTCATGCAACCTCAAAAAACGGTGCAGGCACCAAACACGTCCTAAGATGTTGTTGCGGATACGATGGAGTCACGGGCAGCTACGGTGAGGATGTCGGGGCAAGAGACCGTCTGCTTGCAGATACTCTCCAGCTGGGTCTTGATGATGTCGATGACGCCGAAGTCCCTCAGCGACCCCACGTTCGGAGCTGCGTTTTGTTCCATGCCAGACATCAGAACAGATGCATCATAGACAGTAGAAAAGAGTTTTCTCATAAACTAATCAAGCATGCCTACTTCATGCCAAATTTCACAAGAGGAGTGTACATCCTCATTCCGTGTACAAGTGTAAATATGATCAATATAGTTATTCTTTCCTTTTTCTTTTTGAGGATGATCCTTGACTTTGCGTTCTATGTGCTCCATTTTTCTCCTAACATTGGGGGAAAAATCTCGTTAAATAATAGAGCACGGTCACTTCATGCCAAAATGTCATCAGGCAAGTGTGCATCTTCATTCCGTGTGCGAGTGTAATAAGGTAGGGTTGATGGTAATTCTCCTTGCCTTCGCAAGAGAAATTGAGGATTCAACCGTCGTTACATATGTAGGTACATGCATGATTTGCTGCTGCACATACTTAGAGAAATATACATGTTTCAAGTGCTGGTATGATAATCGGTACTGGCCACTGCTTCTGGGGCCTTATTCGTTGACGTGTCGTTCTGGCGAGCTGCCGACGTGTAGGTCAATCACGAGTTCACCTTGGAGCAGCTGAGCCTGATCTGCCCCTGCGTCCCGGTGAGCGGCGCGATGTTTCCCATCTTGATCATCGCCGTCGTGAAGGCGCTGCTGAAGGCCGCCGCGTTGGATGCGAAGTTGCGGACGGTGTTGTCGGTGGTGTCGTTGTTGAAGAGCACCTGGTCCGAATGCAGGAGCCCTTTCTGTGACAGGAGGTTGGTGTAGTAGGCGTTGTCGAACGTGTTGGGCGTCGTCGTGTCCAGGTTCGCCAGGTTGCCGTTGCCGCCGGACTGGGGGCAGTTGGCCTTGAGAGACGTCGCGAAGGCAGTGTTGATGTTGGTGGCACCGCCGTAGATTCGAGTCCGGAAGTTGGAGCACTGGGCCTTCCCGATGGTGTGCGCGCCTGAGAGCGCGACCATGTCGACCGTGTTAAGGTTCTTCTTGAGGAACGCGGCCTCGAGCTGTGACCGGCTGGAGCCAGGGCCTGGGAGGTCGCTGTTCGCCAGCGCCGCACTTGCGGTGGTGGAGTCCCGTCTCCCAAGTGGAACAGTCCATGACGGCCCTCCAAGCTGCATCGACCAACCAAGAAATTAAGTACGGGACTACTAGCTTTACGTAGCATCGATCATATATGCAACTGAATGTGCTAAGATGATTTTACGGCGACGGCGGAGTCGCGGGCGGCGACGGTGAGGATGTCGGCGCAGGAGACGGTCTGCTTGCATATACTCTCCAGCTGGGTCTTGATGCTGTCGATGACGCCGAAGCCTCTCAGCGACCCCACGTTCGGACCCGCGTTTTGTTCCATGCCAGACAGCAGAACAGATGCATCACAGCCCTGTAGCCAACATAAACATATTAGTTCACGGTATAAATTTTGTTAAATCAAAGCTTGTTAGATAGGACACAGCTGTTAAAGCAAAGTTAGTTAAGATAAAAAGAGCCGATATATTATGTGAAACTTGCTTGGACAAAGCAGTCGTGGAAGTGAAGCCTGAGCAGGGACGCGCCCATGCGGGGGTCGCTGCTCACGGCGGCCGCCACGCCGCTCTTGATGGTGGCCAGAGCCCTGGGACACGACGTGTCGTAGAACGTCGACGAGAGCTGCCCCGTGGCCGCCGTGGCCAGAGCCACGAGCACCACCAGAGAAATGCAAGAGGCAGAACCCATGGCCATGGTTGGCTACAAGGCCAGAGCTATGTGTGCTATCACTGCTATCTGCACTTGTTATCTGGCTGTGGCTGTGGCTTGCAAGATAATGCAGTATATCATGCATATTTATAGGGAAAGTTTTAGCTCACGTGCAACTGCACATCAGTCCCGGTCTCCCAGTTGGGAGAAAGCATCCAACTTCTATGTCTGATTAGTCTAGCAAGCATCCAAAACAGATGGTCGATTGGTCTATGATGGCTGACGATCGACGTCGACCCGGCATCCACGATCTGCCCAGCGCCGTCGTGTGGCCAGCTAGATGTTGGATAGGGGATACGGGTGCGGACAAACCCGCCGATTTTTTAGAAGGGTCAGACGCTTGCATCCAACTGTGGCAACCTCCAGCTTAAGTGCTTAAATCGCTACGGCCAACACCAGCCCTGCATTTTTTTTTCCGGCAATAGGGCTTATCATGTATTCGAATAATTTCCCGTGATCTGCCTTGGCCTTATCATGTATCCGTTAGGTGCCCGTGGGAGAGAGAAACATATATCTGCGAATCAATAATGGCATACAACATCTCATAATAATGTTCATTGTTTTTTGATATAGCTTACTACTCTTGCCAAGTGGTTCATCTCATAATAATGGAGTAATATATTTTTCATCATTGTTTTTTAGGTACAGGTGTGGTCGTGAACCTGCTTTGAGGGAATATAAGATTGTTAGGCTTTTCAATTTTGAATAAATTTAACATGCTTTTTGTCTAGCGACTCCGGGCGGCCGGCAAACCTGTGTTATGCATCAGGCTCATAGCCTCGCTACACGAGCATTTCGTCCTACGATCAGCCCTGACTAGAGAGCAACATATGTTTTATAAGAGGTTTTGAATCATCACATCAAAAGAATAACCTTACAGGAGAGGATACCCTCGCCTTTAAATTCATGATGTGTCTCCTCTCCCACAACTAACATAGGGGTAATTAAACCCAACACAAATTTCACTTTGCACCGTAAAAGTGCTAACATGCACTCTACTATAGGAGTACCCAGGAACATACGATCATTGGTTCATCTCCAACTAACCAACTACATGGAATGAGCTCCATGCATGCTATTGCAGATGGCGATACAACCCGAGCCCGGACGTACACATGGACACACCGTTTGGCCTGACTAATTGTAAGGAGTCCGCTTCTGTCCAAGGCAATCCAGCCTCGCTTTGACCACAGCGCCGTCATCTTGCGCATAGGTCGTGTTCGATGAAAGTGACACGATGTGATTCAGCAGTGCCAGTTTCTTTCATGCTCTGTACTGCAGTTGAGAGGCACTTGGTTCAGACGCAGCCTGCGAGGAAACAGTTCGGCCCAAATCATCGTCTAGCCGCGCTCCATTTGGGCTTCTTCCGTTCGCTCGGTGTTGTTTGGATGCGTCTAAATGTCACCTACTACATGCGACTCACCTCCAACATTCTATATGGGCCGGCCCAGCAGCATGAGGCCTTGAGGCGTGCGCACAAGTCTCACGATCGCTTTCGCTAAAAAAAAAACGAGCCGCACATTAAGTCACAATAAAAATGTTGCAATTTTTATCTAAAATAACTTAAGGCACACTTGTATTTCTATTTTTCTGTCTTTTTTCAAACAAAATACAATACAGATGTTCACATAATATTTTGGTACTTTTAGAAATGCCATGCTGACTAGGTGCAAATGTTGCTAGACTTCTACCAAGTGAAGAGTAGTGCCAAGTGCTGGAGGAAGAAAGAAGAGAAGCGGGAAATCGGAGCGGAGGAGGCGGGTCCCGGTAAGTGCGGCCGAGTAAATGAAAAACTAAGCAAAAGTGGTTCGCGGGTCCCGACCACTTTCCTGACATATTACAAATACAGGCAGTTTCGCATGCACAATACATCTGATATATATACAAGGACGTGGGCCAGCACTAACACAAATAGTGGAGTAAACGGCCGGTCTAGGATCTACAGGTACATGACGGAACCGCGCAATATGACTTTGCAGGCATATCATGTATTCGAATAATTTTTAATGGTTTGCATTGGCCTTATCATGTATCCGTTAAGTGGTTGTAGGAGAGAGAAACATATATCCAGTAATGGCATACAACATCTCATAATAATGTTCATTGTTTTATTTTGATATATCTTACCACTCTTGCCAAGTGGTTCACCACGTAATAATGGAGTAATATATTCTTCATCATTGTTTTTTAGGTACATGTGTGGCGGTGAACATGCTTTGAGGGAATATAAGATAGTTAGGCTTTTTAATTGTAAATAAACTTAACATGCTTTTTTGTTAAGCGACTCCGGATAGGCAAGCTTGTGTTATGCGTTGTAGGCTCATATCCCCGCTACACAAGCGCATTTCATCCTACTATCATTCCTAACTAAAGAGCAACAGATGTTTTTTAAGAGGTTTTTAATCATCACGTCAAAAGAATAACCTTAGGGGAGATGATACCTTTGCCTTTAAATTCATGATGTGTCTCCTCTCCCGCAACTAACATTGGGGTAATTAAACCCAACACAAATTTCACTTTGCACAGTAAAAGAGCTAACATGTACTCTACTATCGGAGTACACAGGAACATACGTCCACACGCACGATCCATGCATTGGTTCATCTCCAACTGGATGGAAAGAGCTCCATGTATGCTATTGCAGATGACGATACAGCCCAGAGCTATGCATGGACGCACAGTTTGACCTAACTAATCGTAGGGAGTCTGCTTCTGTCCAAGGCAATTCAGCCTCAATTTGATCACAGCGTAGTCATCTTGCACACAGGTTGTGTTTGATGAAAGTGACACGATTCCATTCAGCAGTGCGACAATTTCTTTCATGCTCTGTACTGCAGTCGAGGGGCACTCTGTTCAGATGCATGCCTACGACGAAACAGTTTGGGCCAAATCATCCTCTAGTCACACACCACTTGGGCTTCTTCCGTCCGCTGGGTGTTGTTGTTGGGTGCTTCTAAATGTCGCCTACTAATTAACATGGGACTCGCCTCCAGCATTCTATATGGGGTGGCCCCATCAGCATGAGGCCTTGAGGCGTGTGTAGTTCCAATGCACAAGCCTCACGTTCGCTTTCGCTCCAAAACAAACGAGCAGCACGTTAAGTCACAATAAAAAAAGTCCCATCAAAAACAAAAAAAGTTACAATTTTTATCTAAAAGAACTGAAGGCACAGTATTATTTCTATTTTTCTATCTTTTTTCAAACAAAATGCAACACAGATGCTCACATGTTATTTATATACTTTTAGAAATGCCATTCTGACGAGGCGCAACTGCCGCGAGCCTTCTACCAAGTGGAGAGAAGTGCCAAGTGCGAGATCATAATGTTTTTATTGCATAGTAATTTTAATCTCCTAGGTCTATTGATCCATTCTGACGAACGCGAACAAGTGATTACAAATATACTTTTGATCAATGAAATGCGTGCATGTCTACCCTTTTATCGCATTGACCTTTTTATCTGGAGGTCGGGTATAATTTTTTTCAGTTGTATCGCGTTGACCCTTTCATCGAAAAATTAGAGTACGAGACATGTCAACCAATTGCAATCACGATTGAACTGTAATAAAATAAAGACAATAACTTTAGAAACACCATGCTTAATGCCTCTATCGTGTAAAACTGACATTATGATTGTTATGTGGCCATGTGTGGGTATTTAGCTAGTAGTATCTCTAAGCGATGAATTGATTAATTAATCAATTATTGCTAACAATTGTTATTTTCAGGGCCATTGCCATCCAACGACCTAAAGCTCATCCTCGTAGTCATCGAGGCCACCTCCCAACCTTGTTTGCATGGCCGAGATGACAGGGTCGCATATGCCCTGCAACTCCCAGAGCTTCTTCTCATAGTCCCCCTCCTCGGCGTTCTCTGTGTTTCCGTCGAGCCACTTGCTCACCGCCATCACCTCACCCTCCACCTCCCCCCTCCTCTTCTCCTCCAGCTCCATGTCACCAGCAGCGGCAAGGGTCTCCTTGATGCTGTGCACGTAGGCCTCCAGCCTAGCTTTGGCGTCCCTGGCGAACTCGTCCGCTTCACGCATCATAGCGTCAATCTCTTCCTGACTCAGCCGCCGATGATGATAACCATAGCTGGTATTGGCCGACTTGCCGGAGGCCTTATCCGTCGCCTCGGCGTGGATCGTGCCCGCCTGGTCCACCTCGATGGTCACCTCGATGTCCCGCCTTCCCCAATTCCATATACTGCGCCCATCGTGAATGATTCGTGTTACAAATTGACAATATGTAGGATGGGTGATCTCGGAGTAGCTAGGATGTAGGATCACTATGTTAATAGCTAGCTAACCTTGCAGGTGGGATTTCAGAGAGGTCAAGCTGGCAGAGGAGTCTGTTATCCTTGACCTCAGTTCGGTCGCCCTCATACACCTTGACTGCCATGGTGGTCCGCTTGTCCCAGTACGTGGTGATGACATGCGTCCCCTTGGCCGGGTAGCCGGCGTCCCTCCGGATCAGCTTCACCATTGCCCCGTCGGCAGCTTCGATGCCGATAGCGGGCTGCGGCACGTCAACTATGCCTGCATATAATAATTTGTTTTTGTATTAATTGAGTCTTAACCACATCGTCATAAAAATCTTGTCAAGATGAGGGAGGCAGAACAAGTTACTGTACCAAAAAACACCTTGTCGTCGTCGTCATGGTGTCCAGTCAGGTGGCTCCCCTGAACGGCGGCCCCGTAGGCGACGGCCTCGTCGGGGTTGATCCCGTCGACGTTGACGGGCTCCTTGCCGTCGAAGTAGTCCTTGACAAGCTGCTGCACCATGGGGATCCTGCTGCCGCCGCCCACGAGGATGACATCGTGGATGTCTCCCTTCTCCAGCTCGGCGTCCTCCATGGCCTTGTTCAACGGAGCCATCGTCTTCAAGAAAAGGTCCTGGTTGAGCTCCTCGAACAGCTCCCTGGTGAGCGTCTCCGAGAGGTCGACGCCGTCCAAGAGCGCCTTGACCTCCACGCCCACCTGGTGCTGGTCGTGGTCGCTCAGCGCCCGTTTGGCGCGCTCGCACTCCCGCAGCAGCCTCTGCATCGCGTGTCCGTCGCCGGTGACGTCCCGGCCGTGCTTGCGCTGGAACAGCTCGGCGAAGTAGCCCGCGAGTCGCCGGTCGAAGTCGTCACCGCCGAGGTGGGCGTCGCTGCGGCTCGCCATGGTCTCGAACACGCCTTCATCGAGGGTGAGCACAGCGACGTCGAGCGTGCTGCCGCCGAGGTCGAACACCAGCATGTTCCTGGGGTCGCCCCTATGCTTGTCGAGGCCGTTGGCGATGGCGGCGGCGACGGGATCCCTTACCAAGCGGAGGACGTCGAGCCCGGCGAGGATGCCGGCCTCCTTGGTAGCGTACATCTGCGCGTCGGTGTAGTGGGCGGGGACGGTGAGCACCGCCCGCGTGACCTTCCTGCCTAGGTGGGCCGCCGCCCTGTCCATCATGTCCGCAAACACCGCGGCAGTGATCTCCACGGGACTGAGCAACCGCACGTCGTCCTCGCCCACATCCACCCGGACGTACGGCATCCCGTCCCGGTCGACGACGGCGTACGGCAAGGTCTCCACGTCCTGCTGCAGGTCGGCGTCACTGAACCGCCGTCCCAGGATGCGCCTGGCGCCATAGATGGTGCGGTTCGGGTTGGCGGCGTACTGGTCCCTGGCGGCCTCTCCGACCAGCCTCTCGCCGTCGTCGATGAAGGCGACCCACGCGGGGGTGACGCGGTTGCCCCGGTCGTCAGGGACGATCTCGATGGAGCCGTCCCGGTGTACGGCGGCAATGCACGAGTGGGTCGCGCCGAGGGCGATGCCGAGCACCTCGTCGCCAGTCTCGCCGGACCGGCGCCGGCTCTCTGGGACGAGGAAGCTCGACGCCGTGAGGGGTAAGAAGAGGAAGCCGAGGACGAGCAGTGCCTCCGCAGCACGACGAGCCATGGACTTGGCCCAGATCGATTTGGAGCACGCCTCGTCTGTGACGATATTTAGACGTGGCAGGAGACACGTCCCAAGGCACCACGGAGAAGTGTTCGGTGTTCACTCCAACCAGAAGATGACACGTGCCACCTATGACACAAGATTCCGATTAAAATTGATATTTTTTGCGGGAACTAAAATTGAAATTGGTTTGGTTACTTACAATAGGTGTGTTTCCACTAAATATAGGCGAGCCGAATCATCGTGGAAAGTGCATTTGGGAGACGGGCTCGAGGGAGCCATTTTTTTTCCAGCGAAAATACTATTTGCGGTATAAGCATATAATTTGTGGTATAAACGTATTTTTTTTTGCGGATGATAAACGTATAAAATTTCATCAACGTATACAAATATATTAGTACTCCCTCCGTTTATTTTTAGTCTGCACAAAGTCAAACTTTGTAGGAAAAAATAACAACATCTATAATACTAAAACAATATGGTATGAAAATTAATCTCATGATGCATCCAACAATGTTGATTTCATATTGTGAATCTTGATTGTTTTTTCTATAAACTTAGTCAAAGTTAAAAAGGTTTGACTTTGATCAAATCTTATATGCCGACTAAAAAGAAACGAAGGGAGTATGTAATGTACACAAAAAAGATTAATACATAGATTAAAATGGACCTTTTCTACCCCGCCCAAAAAAGGACATTTTCTTTGTTGTTTTCGGGCCAGGTTTTTGTCTTTTTTGTGTAGCCTACAAATAGTGATATTATTTAATGAAAATTTATATATACTTAGAGAACATGTATGCATATCATCTTTGATACTTCTAAATAGTGTTTCTAAAAAAAAATCTAATAATGGTCCATCCTTTGAAGCTCTGCTCTAATGTATATTGTCCCTTCTTAACATGATAGGGTTGTTACAAATCTGCAATCTCCCTAGATACATATACATTAGTACATACAAAATTTCATCTCATTGTTTTCGTGGACTTTATTAGCAATTAATCGTTGGCTTCTTTGTGTGATGGCCCTGTTAAGTCATTAAATCCAATGGCGATGAGTTATCATCTTTAGCTCAACACACATGATTTTGAATTGCACCATTAGTACTGCCTACGTTTTTAGATATAAGCCATTTTAAAGATTTCGATACGAACTACATGCGGGTGTATATAGACGAATTTTAAAGTGTAGATTTGCTCATTTTGTTCTGTATGTAATCCATATATTGAAATCTCCAAAAAGACTTATATTTAGGAATGAAGTGAGTAGTTAATAGTGTAAAGTGGCATCTCCTAAAAGTGCTATCTTATTTAGGATCACTACTAGGGAAAAGCTTATACACGGACGCTTACTAGTAGCGAGGGTTTATAACCCTCGCTGCTGCTATTTTTACCCCTCGCTACTACTAAGTTGATAGTAGTAGCGCAGGTTTTTACACCTCGCTACTAG